CCATCCCGGAGGCCACGCGGGTAGCGCGTCTTTGCCTGAAGACGAAGCCTGCGTGCAGTGTTTCCTTCACCACGAAGCGGCTCGTGAACGAGGCTGGGCAGTCGGTGTACAAGCTGTGGGGCGCCTGTGCCGAATGCAAGCCGAAGTGTACTTTCTCTGCGCGTGTGACCATCTGCATCGATGGCCCGGGCGAGGGGAAGTTCACCGTCAGCCATCGAGGTGAGCACGCGAAGAAAAAGCTGGCACAGGGCGGTCGGTTGCTGTCGGCGGAGTTGCAGAACGTTGTGAGCGAGATGACCGAGGCAAAGGTTCCCATCACGACGAAGAATCTACGTGAGTCTGTGGAACGTGCAAACCTGGACCTGGCTTGCGAGCCAGAGCAGGTGCACAGCCTTGTCAGGCGTTTGCGGCAGAAGAACAAGCAGACCTCGCATGTCGCAAAGGTACCCATCCAGATTTTCCTGGATGAAGTGAAAGCGTGGGAGGCGGATTTGCCGCAAGATCTCGACAAAGAGGAGGACTTGTCGCGTCTCATTGTTCTGAAATCGCCGCACGGCAGCGTGGTGGAAGACAGCAGGGTTTACGTGCCACTTTCGTGCCCGGGAATGCTGCAACGGCTCCGCGATGCGGCCAAGCACCGGATCAGACTCATCGTGGACATGAAGATGGGTGCCGTGGCAAACAACTACGGCGTGATCACTCTTTGCTTCGCAACCAGCAGTGCGCGTCTGCGGAACACGACCGCGGCCATGTTGAAAGGACGGCGGCAGACCTACCTGGCCCACACGTGCACAGCGCAGCCGATCATGCAAGCCATCGTGCACACCGAGAGGGAAGATAATGTCACAGCTTGCTTCGAGGACTTGTGCTGGTTATGCCAGGAAGTCGCTGGCTTTGACCTGAAGGCACAGATTTTGCACGTGCATGCTGACTATGCACCCGGTATAGCGGCAGCGCGGCGCAACGTTTTCCCGGGCGTGCGCCTGATCGGTGATTATTTCCATTACAAGAAGGCTTTGTTCAAGACCTTGCCGAGCAAGTTTCAGAAGGCGCAACAAGGCAGTGCCAAGCCAAAGGGCAGAAAGAAACGCGACCCCAACGTGGCAGCCGTGTCGCACTTGTCCGATTTGACGAGGTGCACGGGTCGGGTCTTATCAAGTATAGACAGAAGACTAACTTAGACAGAGAAGGCGGGCTGCATGCAAGCGCCTCAAAAAATCAACACTTGCAGGAGTGATCACGCACATACTCCTACAGAGCAGAGATCTAAAGCAGCGTCCTGCACAGGTGTTTGCCAAGTGTGCAGCTCGCCGACGCTGTTTGGCAGGTCATCTTCGAGAACTTGCCAACGCAGGCCGCCACATACTTGCAGAAGGAGTACTTCGATCAAGCCAGTGTGGCTGACCTGCATCACATCTTCAAGACCGTCCAGGCCCCGGCGCGCGGGGCGACCAAGCTCTGGCTTCCGAGCTTCTGGACGGGCGTCTTCGGCACATGTCCAGGCGCGGGCGGCGGGACAAACCCGCTCGAGGCGCGGCATGGCTCCTGGGAAGCCGAGCTCAATCGCACCAAGGACGGCTTGGTGTCGGCTCTGGCGGGCCTGCAGCACCTCTACAAAAAGTGGCTGAAAATTTTTGACTGGGGTAAGAAGATCAAAATGACGCATGCACCCAGCGAAGAAGGCGACTACTTGCTGAACAGCGGGTCACTTCGCACGCAAGGGCGCTCTCCCGCAGTCGACTACTGGGCGAAGCGTAGCGAGGGGAATTACGTCAAGTTTCATGTCTGTGCCTTCGGCAGCAAGTAGACTGACTTGCGTGGGGGTGAGGAAGGGAGAGGGCAGATGTCCTACGCGACGACGGAAGTCGACATGCTGGGTTTGAGGGAGGTAGAAGGCATCCATCAATGAAGAATGTTCCCGCACCAAGGTACCGGCACGCCTCGAGGTCCCAACACCGAGGAATCGGAATATACGACTTTCTGGGTGCTGGCCTCTCCCACAGCGCCGGTGGACAAGGCGCGCGCATGCCGCACACGACGATATAAGTCTCAGACAAAGGTGCATGGAGGCATAGGCATGTCCTCGTCCCGTGTGTGCCAGCAAGTGCAGTTCCGGTGCAGGAGCTCGCCCGCCGGCTCTGCTACATGCTGTACCGCGATGGTGACGAGCTCACGGCACTCCTGGTCGAGGCGGGCATCTTCGTGCCCAAGGAACGGGGAGGTCATGAGCTGGATCCCAAGGTGCTAAAGAAGTACTTTGTGGATCATTGTGTGGTTTGCCAAGGGCATTGGGTCCAGGCATATTGGCCACGTGGACACCGCGGGGAGCAGCAACGTGTTGTCTGCACCTGCGTCCACCATGTACTCCACTCGGAATGCGAGCACGAAAAAATTCGTCGGTGCGCTCAAAGGAGGACCGCCCAATCTTGCAAGCGTGCCCGAGGTCAGACCTCGCGGCCGGTTGCAGCGGCCTGCGTGGCGATGCCGCACTTCGTACAGAAAAGCCCGCCTCGGCACAGAAGCTGTTTAGGCCGGCACCGTTTAAAAGCTTCGGTACCTTCTGCAATGTACAGCGCAGAACCGCCGGAAGCTGCCAGAACCACTGTGAAACAAAGCTTGCGGAGCGCGGTGCCTGTAGGAGAAATGCCTCAAGAATCTATGCCTAAGTTTGTTGGCGAGGTCGAAACCTCGGCCACAAGAGCTCAGGGTCTCGGCCGCTACGAGTGCTGCTGTTACTACTCCCAAACTGACGACGACACTGCTGCTGCTACCCTAACCCCTAAACGATGACGATGACACTGCTGCCGCTGCTGCCGCTTACGATACTACTACCCAACGAGCTAGGTTGGTGAAAGGAAAGGCTAGGCAGCCCCCCCCCAGGGAGCATAGAAAAAAACCTAGGTCAGCATAAAGGAAGGAAAGGCTAGGCAGCCCCCCCCACAAAGCATAAAAAAAACTTAGGTCAGCATAAAGGAAGGAGCCACAGCATAAAGAAAACCCCGGTCAAGCATAAGAAAAAGCAGGTGTAGCATAAAAACACAGCCGGCCACGGGTCCAGCATAAGAAAAAGCGGGGTATAGCATAAGAAAAAATTCGGTGTCCATCTCTATATTACACTGCTGAATTCATTCATTCAGTGTCTTCCTTAGGTTGTAGAGTTGAAGGTATTTGGGTTATGTTCGCGGATGGCGGACTCAGAACCTCGCAGAAGAAACAGAGGGTGTCGCAGTGTAGTATGGAATTATTGTGGGTGAACCATCTACAGAATTAGGACACGACAAGAGCATTCTGTACCTGCATTGCGTGAGAGGGCCTTGCAAGTGTAAGCCGACAACTCAGGGTATAGGTTTACCCTACGTCTAACTCCGTTGCACGTATTGGGAGTTTTCGAATTTAGGGGTACTGTATCTTGGGGTCCTTATGATAAGCATGCTACTATTTAGGGTACCATATCAGGGTCGACCCTTCTTTTCGGAAACTTCGACATGTCCATGTAAAACCTGTTCACAACTTTGAGGTCCCGGCCTAGGATGGCCCGGGGACGGCTTAGACTGCGCGTTGATGTCTCCCTAAGACTCCATGTACCCATGTAGTAGATACTTAGGCCTTAAAGGGGTCTCTATATAGGTACTTTACGGCCTAAGTACCTACTATAAGGGGTACATGGAGCCTTTGGGTCCAACGTTTCTAGCTACGAAGCTGCACATGGAACTGACTTGCGACCACGGAATCGCAGGCGCGTGCATGTAATATGGGGGCCTAAATAAGTACCAATACTAGTTTGGGGGTTCCTTAAAATAACTATAGTATATTGGGCCCCAAAACCCTATTCTAAGTGTTCAGGCCCCTATAGTACAAGCTGCTAGCACCAACCACGCCTCACTTCAGCAACGCGTCGTTGTGCACGTCATGCTGTCAACATGGGCGTTCAAAAGGTTCCCACTCATGCACTGCACAGCAGATCCGAAAGCCGAATCAAAAATGTTAAATGAAATCTAAAGCAGGGTTGCCTTTTGCAGTTGGGGTTTAGGGTTTGAGGACGGTCAACTAGGTCGCAAGGTGGGCCCGCTTTCTCCTTTTTATGGGCTGGCTTCCTTAGAGACTACCCAAGACCAAGAAGAGTGCCCTTTTTATTCCCAGCTTGCTGGTGATCCTAGTCAATAGGCAGATCAACTAAGGTACCTTCTTTACGGGCTCTCCCGTAAAGGGACTCTGGTGCACGGCCATGTTGAGCGGTGAAGGTAGAGTCCTCATACATTTATGGTAGAAGGTCTCCCCAAACCCTAGCCCTAGTCTTGTGATTCGGGCCTTTGTAGTAGGGTCCGTGGTAAACCTGGAACCCGTCCTGAATCCCAAAGAGCCATAGACTCTTGTATATGGATCCAAAGCTCAGCCAGACATGCCAAACTCCACATCGTTGAGCTAAAGCGCCACACCGTATTCCCAGTTGCATATGCATATATATATATATATATATATATATATATATATGATCCCGGTTCGGCCGGCCCCCCCCCCTCCCCCCCCCAATGGTTCCTCCTCCCCCCTGTGGTGTGGTGTGGTTGTGGGCTGCTTCTTGTTCCCTGTGGTGTGGTGTGGTGTGGTTCGGGAGTGGGTCTGCTTGGCGTGCGAGCCCTCTTGTGGAAAAAGCTTGCACAGTCACACACAGATTCGGCTTGGGGAGCGTGGGGGGGGGGGGGATACCATTGGGGGGGGGGGGGGTCGGTGTGGTGTGTGAGCCCTCGTGTGGAAAAAGCTTGCAGGGCGGGGGGGGGGGGGGGGGGGATACCATTGGGGGGGGGTCGGTGAACCGAGAACCGGGATCATATATATATATATATATATATATATATATATATATATTATATTTATATATATATATATATATATATATATATCAATGGTGTGGCTTGATGGCTTATATCGGGTTCAGGCTTTAGGGCGATTTCTTAAACCCTCAACCCGCCTAACCCCCTCAAACCGTGCTTAAAAGCCCTCAGGCGGACCTTGCCGCAGCGATCCCGCCGGATTCACGCGAAGATCGGGACAGCACCGGGTGGAGTCTGTGTGTAAGAAAGGCTTCATGTTGCAATATAGGGGCCTGAATAACGAGACAGGAATCAGGATTGTGGGAATATTGGAATCTCAGACGTTGCCGTTTTGGGGAACCCTAAACCCTCAGCCCTTAGCGGTTTAGGGTTGGGGGGTTTCTCGCGAGGACGATGATGAGCCTGGCGAGAACGATGACCTGATGTGAGGGTTGATTGCTCACACATCTTATCCGATGTGCTTAGGGTTTAGGGGCATGTCTTATCGTACAGATCCTTAAACCCGAAACGAACGCAAGCCCCAGATCTTAAACGTCCCGAAAGCCTACAGGGGCGCCAAATAACATGCCCTATCAGGGCTCCTTACTATTAATATTATTGTTGTCATTGGTGTGATTAGTTTTATACGTCGTTACGGTAGGTTGTTTGGTGTCACTTAGTTTGGCAGGGACAGAGAGACGCGACTGTGCTGCAAAAGGCGTCGTTGACGTCCCTCTAAGTCCGGTGAAGGAGGGATGGTGGGCATGCAGAATTGGAAACATCACTCCCTTACAGTCCCTGCATAATTAGTTATAGAGCCATAAACCGTAGAATTCTTTCCCACATAACTGAAAAAAGGTTCCTAACCCTAAGCCCTAAACCCAGATGAACGGTCCACGGTAGACTCAGCCAAGCTGCTGCATTCCCGTCCAAACTGTCCAGAGACCCGCAGAATGCTTAGATAGTGTTGAGGGTTTAGGGTTTAGGGTTGGGGAACCTTAAACTTTTGCGCCTTGTATAATTATAAGCTCTATCTTCTAAAGTTTGAACTTTTGTGGGGCCCGGTTGTTGAAGAAGAAAGAATGTAGATCCCTTCCCAGGCTGGTAGGCTCCTTTTCTTGCAAGCATCTTGTCAATACAGCGAATTCCGGAAAGTTGGAACATGGGTTTAGGAGGACTAGTGCTAGGATTATACTTTAACTTAGTAATTAAGGCTAAAAACCTGTAACTATGAGTATAGTTACCTGACTATAAACTCCGTGTCGCCGTCCCATGATCCTTTCCGTGGTCTGTCACTTCAAGAGACCTAAAGAGTTGGGTTTGCGGCTGCTACTGGGCAAAGTTACAACAAACATCGATGTCGAGACCCCCAACCCCCCGACGAAAAATTCGGAGCTGTTTGCGGTTTGATGGCTTGTCGGATACATGAGGTTTTTGTGGTTATACCCCCTGAACCCTGAGCCCTGAGCCCAGAAACTCCAAACCTAACAACCTAAACCTGATAATATAGAGGCCTGAATAATAATTACCTATACTATTTCGGGGAGTTCCCTATTGTGAATATAGTAATTACATTATACCCCCAAACCCCATTCATTCTAACTGTTAAGGCCCCTGCGCAGCGCCGTTCTGCCATGGTCAGGCTGAAGCATGACAGATGTAGGGTTTAGGGTTGAGTAGTTTAGGGGCTTATATTCAACATAGGGTGTAGGGTTTAGGGCTTTAGGGTGTATAGGGGTTCAGTCACCGACGGTGCAATCTTAGTCTTAGTGAAGCAATGAGCGACCGAAGGTAAGGTTCAGGTTTAGGGTTTAGGCGTAGCTTTCGAAGATGTGCCGGAGCGCATCGTAGTGCCATGCTCTCTGGAAGGTGCCGCTTCCTGGCAGTCTTGCTTTTCACAGGATTGCTGTTTATTCTAATCCAGCTTCGGGAGCCCGTCTTTGATCCGGAGACAGGGGCATGGACTGGCGTTTCCAGTGTATTTCATCTGCTTTCTCGGAAAAATGGAGGTCTGAACAACTGTGCCAGCGAGGTAATCCGAGACATCGCACGGTTATGGGACTGCAACTCCTTCGCTGACTATGGGGCGGGTACCGGCGCCTATGCATTGTACATGAGAGACCATGGCTTTGAAACTGCTTGTGTTGATGGGAACCCGGCCGTGAAAGTCTTCTCCAGAAATCTCTGTTCAGTTGCTGACTTGAGCAAGCTTGACTCGACGCTTCCCAAGGCCGATCTTGTCCTTTCACTGGAAGTGGCGGAGCACATACCAGAAGCATTTCAAGATGCCTACATGCGAAACATTGCAAACGGAGCGCGCAAAGGCATCGTTCTATCCTGGGCTATACCTGGGCAACCGGGCGCAGGTCACGGGTGGGCCTGAAATCCATTCCCTCAGTCTTAGTCCTTAAACTACTATTTGCTTAAGAAACCCCCAAAAAATAAAAATAAGAATCCCTATATTACCCCCATAAGGAATATATTTTTTATTTTTTGGGGGTCCTTAAGCAAATAGTAGTAAATTCTGAACTCTAACGGCAACTCTTGTCCGTCTGCGTCTCTAAACTTCTAATTAAACCCTAACTGCCGTCAGGCCACGTGAATTGCCGGGACAACGCTTGGGTCATCAAGCAACTGAGCTCTGGTTAAGCTTCCATACTAAGGGTATTTCTCCTGAATACCGTACATCATGCACAGACTTATTCTATTTATCGCAGCATCTACAATGCACCCTATAAATCCCGATACAATCCAACGAAAGCCCATACGGCCCGAAACTAGTTCCGTTATCCTGAAGTAAAAGCACTAGAAGACCCTCAGAAACCACATGAAACTCCTGAAAAAAACTCTAAGGGCTCCTAAGGGTAGGTGAGGTTCTTGGGCTCACTGCCTTAGGGCCTAAACCCTAAGCCCTTATACCCTCAACGCTGACCCTTTAAACCCCAGAAGCCCTAAAGCCTGAATTTCTTGAGCTCAGGCAGTGACCCCAACCCCTGAAGCCTAGGGCCTAGAACTCAACTAAACCCTAAACTTTAAACCCTAACCCCTACAACCTATTTGGAGGTTCATGGGCAGTTATAAGTAGGGTCATAAGTAGGGCAACTATACTTATAACCCATATTAGGGTACTTATGACTCCAGTTATATCTACCCATAAACCTCCAAGTAGGGTTTAGAACTCAGCCCGTTTGAAGATCTTGAGTTCAAGAACACCCTAGCCCTTAAATCCTAAACCCTAAATCTAAACCCTAAAACACCGAGGGTTTAGAACCCAAGCAGTTGGAGGATCTTGGGCTAACCCTTAAATCCTAAACCCTAAGCCTCAACCCTAAAAATCCGATCCGAAACTCAGGCAGTTGGAAAGACTTGGGCTCAAGCATACCCCAACCCTTACATCCTAAACCTTAAACCTAAACCCTAAACCCTAAAGGGTTTAGAACTCAGGCAGTTGGAGGATCTTGGGCTCAAGTATACCCCAACCCTTACATCCTAAACCTTAAACCTAAACCCTAAAACGTTTAGAACTCAGGCACTTGGAGGATCTTGGGCTCAAGTATGCCCCAAGCCTTACATCCTAAACCTTAAACCTAAACCCTAAACCCTAAAGGGTTTAGAACTCAGGCACTTGGAGGATCTTGGGCTAACCCTTACATCCTAAACCCTAAGCCTAAACCCTCGCCCTACACCCTAAAAAGCCCGAAGCTCAGGCAAATGGAGGATCTTGGGCTCAAGTATACCCCAACCCTTACATCCTAAACCTTAAACCTAAACCCTAAAACGTTTAGAACTCAGGCACTTGGAGGATCTTGGGCTCAAGTATGCCCCAAGCCTTACATCCTAAACCTTAAACCTAAACCCTAAACCCTAAAGGGTTTAGAACTCAGGCACTTGGAGGATCTTGGGCTAACCCTTACATCCTAAACCCTAAGCCTAAACCCTCGCCCTACACCCTAAAAAGCCCGAAGCTCAGGCAAATGGAGGATCTTGGGCTCAAGTATACCCCAACCCTTACATCCTAAACCCAGCACCTAAACCCTAAACCCTAAAAGCACGAAAATCAGGCAGTTTGTGGATCTTGGGCTCAAGTATACCCCAACCGTTACATCCTAAACCCTAAACCTAGCCCTAAACCATAAAGGGTTTAGAACTCAGGCACTTGGAGGATCTTGGGCTCAAGTATGAGGACATCCTCACGCTGCAGATCCGACAGAAGGTCGACAGTTGCCCTGATGAGTTCCTCGGCCTAAACCCAGAGACTCCAAGATCCCTTAATTAAGGAATTCCTAGGGTTCCTTTTAAAGGGATCCTTTAAGGGATCTATAGGGTTTAGGGCTTAGGGGTATCCCTTAATTAAGGAATAGACCTTAAGTTATAGTAGGATCCTTAAGATGATATAAGGAGTATTCCCGAATTAAGGGATATTGGAGTCTCTGGGGACTTAAGGTTTCGTACCAGGGTTTATTTAGGGCTCCTTTATAGGGGTACCCATAAGATTCTACAATAAGGGTTATTGTAAGGGTTCCTATTAGGGGGGGGGGGTTCAGGGTTTAAGCTTTAGGGTTGAGGAATGATAAAAGATGGTTTTAGTATGTTTTGGTTTCTACTTTTGCTCTCTGTTCTTTGTGGGATTGTTGAATACCTTTAAAACTTCAACAACAATGCTTTTGTTTGTTTGTTAACGTGCTAGGGTCTACTTAGTCTACTTGTCTGCTTGGAACTTCGAGCTTTCGTTGCCGTGTGGACTGTGCGGATTGGGAACAGTAAGGTTCAACACCATCAACTTCAAGCGCACAATGATGGTGTTTTCGAAAGTCTAGGGTTCAGGGTTCGATGCTTTGGGGAGGATGGAATATGCCCGAAGCACAGGGTTTAGGATTCAGGGTGTGAGATGGATGTGGCTACCCGACCACCGGGCTGGCACAGGCGAAAACATTCCTACATCAATTCCGGTGCTTAGGAAGAGACGTTATTCACAATCGATGTTTTTTTCAAACTTGAAGGTGCCCCTAGCCGGGGCGTGAGGGTGTGAAGCACCCTGCTTTCCTTTCCCAGCAAGAAGCATCGCAACAACAGCATCAGCAGCCGCAACGCCAACAACGACAGCAGCAGCAGCAACAAACAACCAGAGCAACAACGCCACCACCACCAACAACAACAATAGCAAAAACAATAGCAATAACGATAATAATGACATGAGTTAGCAAAACACACGAACAGCAGTATCTGCAACAACAAACAGAGCCATGCAACAAACAAACAAACAAACAACAACAACACCAACAACAGCAGCAGCAGCAACAACAGCAACAACAACAACATCAACAACATCAACAACAGCAACAACAACAGCAACAACAGCAATGCATCAACCACAATAGCAACAGTGATAATCATAATTATAACAACCAGAAAAAAACAAGCAGAAGAAGCACAGACAGAACTCGGAACA